ACGACTTGTTTACCGTTCTATTAATTTCCTAGTCGGCTATCGTCAAATTACCTCTCCCTTTCGTAATTGCTCTCGATGCTCCTCGACTCGTTTCCTCGAATAATCGCAACTGAATTATTTATACGCAGCTCGTTCGACGTGTACGCTGGTGGAAACCTCCCGTTTCTTGGAAAAGAGAAATTTTTCTGTTTCTTCGCGATCCAAATTCCACGGCCACAGGATCCACGTCAAAGCCTAATTAATTGTTGCGTTCCCGTTTGAAATCGCGACCGCACGCGAGTAGTCACAGAGTCACTCCGAAGCACGTTCGAAGGTGAAACTGTATCTAGAATTGGATAACGACGAACCTGAATCACCAGCAAGGAGATTCGTGACGCGAGATACGTTATACCGATTCTAATTACTCCGCCATGTCATTTTACACCGGCGTCTAATCGGCGTCGCAATCGGCTTAACGGGAACCCCATTACCGGTGGTTAATAGGATTTTTCTCGGCGTCTCTGCTTTGACAGACAAGTCCCGAAGCTTTTGTGCGCAAAGTCCCGAGCGTGATGGTGCACGCGATACGCGATTAGAGCGCTGTTGGTGCGCGCGCCGCGAACAAAAGTTTTTAAACAAAGCTCGCTGAGCAATCGCAAATGGCGACTGAATCAGCCGAGTCGAGAAGAGCGGCGCGCGAGTGCACGCGCAATTAAACCCCGAGGGGATTCGTTCGACTCTTGTTTCTTCTCACCGCGAATGTTCCGGTGGAAAGCGAAATGAATGGCTTAAGTAAAATGGCCGATCTAACGGGAAATCGCAGCAAACCCTTTGGCCAACAATTTGCTTTCATACGTCGTCGCTTTGCGTAGATTTTCTGCGAACCCAAATTGTCCTCTCATAATTGTCACTACCTTGGCTTTTTTGCCGATTCTGTTCAAACGGTTACCTGCACTCGATTGCCTGCATTTAAAAGAGGATCGTTCGATTAGCTTCCTGACTGTTGAACAGGTCCTAAATAAAGCCCACTTTCCTTCACCTTTACCTTTCTTCTTTGTCCTCTTCATCCTCCTTTCCACTCGATTACAATACCAAATTAGCAACTCCCGCAAAGAGGAGTGTAACACGGTGGCAACCAATGGCAATTTCGCACGTAATTTTGTCTTATCTTTATCAAATGCAATAAATATTTTTCCAAACCACTTATAACGGAAGAGTTGTAATAAACCTTGTAGAAAAAACTCGAACGTTATCTGTTCCAAGCTTCTCATCTGTCGTGATCAGCGAAGCACGGCGCACAGTAGTCCGGAGACTGCGTTTTCGTGGCGAAAATTATTCTAGCGTTATTTCAAGATTCAAGATGTGGCCGTGCGAATTCGTCTTGACGTTATCAAATCGAAAATATATAATGAGGTTTAAAAAATAGAGGTAACCTTGAATTTTTGTGAGGACGAAATTTTTCTCGAAATTCTTTATTTTGAAATTTTTAGCAGACTAAATGCTGATTAATTTTCATTCCAAATGTCTTTTTGTCAGATCATTGGAAATAACTGAAAAATTGTTAGTGCTTTAGGTTCGAGATTCAAGAGTAATTGTGTACTCAGGCATCCGTATATCACGGGTTTCTATCTCCTAAAATCTGTGTTTATTTAAAGGTTGCTCTTAAAATTTGTACGCTCTTCTTAACAATTGTTTAAATTTTTTATGTAGTACAAGTCTGATGTCAATCACTCTTAATCATTTTTTAAAGTTCGAATTGCTATAAATCCTGTTTGTACAGAAATTGAAATATTTGGACAGTCAAAACGCGTTTATTAATTTAAACCCTTTATTCATCTTTAATTACTAATTCTATAATTACCAATTAAAAAAAATAGCTTCGCTCTGATTTTCGAAATTTTGACTGTTTTAGCACGTTGTAATCGTAATTATCTGAAATGGATAACATTTTGGATTCCAGAGTTTCCTTGTTTCGTGGCCAAAGAAAATTTCGTCAGAATGTTAAATTGGAAAAGTTGAAAAACAAGAAACGAAGTTTTCAGACGACCGTGCGGTATCTTGCAAGTACGGAGGCTCGCCCCGATAGCGTGGCTCCGATCACAGTCGTCTGTTTGACCCGACCCCGTGAACCACGCTCCACCCATGGAACTAGAAGAGCCAGAGAGCTCGTGCAAACCCGAGTCTCGTAAAAGGATCGGAGGTTCGCGTAGTTACCGCTTGCACTCGCCGTTCCATCGCGCGTCGGTGCCGAGCGGTCCGGTAACCATCGGCGGCGCGATCTCGCGGGAAATGGAGCACGCCGCTCGATTATATTCCAGCGAGGTCGAAGCCAGGCCAGGCCGCCTTCTGAACTCGAGTCACTCGGCTCTCTTGCATCATGGATGCACGCCGCCTTTTGCGGCGTTGTTATCCAACGGGAAACAACCATGTTTGCAGAGAAAGAGAGAAAGAGAGAGAGAGAGAGAGAGAGAAAGAGAGGCGTCCCCGTGTTCAATTCAATTAAAAATAAACCGGCCCCTCGCAATTATCCGCGATACCAGCGTCGTTCGCTCGCCCGTTACACACCAATTTGCGATGGATTGCCAGTGAAATCGCTGGCATAACTGTGCCCCGTCGTTGTTTCTTGTCACATTAACCGATTCAATGTGTTCTACCGGCTCGTTCGCCGACGATTATCGCTCGTTCCCTGGTTAACACGTTCCGTACGCCGCGCTCACGGTACGATTTTCTATTCAACCGCCGTGTACCGCTTATAATACACGCTGATGCATTTTAGAAACGTGTGCTCTTTCTTCGAGGGAAAAAATGTTAAATGTAGCAATTACTATGAAAGAGAAGCGTGCGATCGACAGTTATTTATTTAGTTACGTTGCAACACGGACATGCTATAATTATCACGCAGCAAAACTCCGTTTATTTAGTTAGTTCGCGTAACAAGAGACCATTGATTCCTACTCATTTGATCTACGATTTCTCGCTTCGTACAACAGAAATTCAAACAAAGAAATATGAAAATTCCTTTCTCTTCGTTCCGTTTAGAAGGACCTCCAGTGATCGAAAATCTGTCGCACCTAGTCATTGAAATTTCGCCAATTGATTTATACGAAATCTGCAGTTTCCTTGCGACAGTCGCTCGAACGAAGTTAGAAGCTCGATACACGGACAGAACGTCACGGACGGTTGCGTGGGCCGTTTATAGTTATTCCGCGGGCGAAGGAACGTTGTTAATCTCGTGTTCGATGCGCCGCGAGCCTGTCGACGCCGAGCACGGGAACTATAGCAGTACGACTGTTTCCGGCTCGATCCGGGGTTAAGGTCATCCGCGTAATTTCACCTAAACAAATCGACGTGCCTCGCTCGATTGAACCTCATCTCTCTCTCTCTATCTCTCTCTCTCCTCGACCTCGAGTCGTTTCGCGCGCTCCTCCCGTACGTTCGACGCGCACGTATCATTTTCGCGAACACGAGTCGTGCACGCGCTGTTTACGCCCCGATGCATTACCCTCTCCACCCTTTCTCGAAGAACGATCGCTCGATCGTAGCAACGTCCGCTTCCTCGTTCGCTTGATTCTCGGCGCGAGAGCGAAGTTCAGCCGCGATGAACGGCTCCTCGCGTGCGGTGGCCACACTCTTTTGCCGCTGCGCGGCGCGAAATTTATTCCGCGAGCATTTTCACATCGCAATTACCGTGTTTCCAACGACGGAGTGTCGATCCACCGCGAAGCGCCGGAAACTCGCGTCGTGCGTTGAAACAGTTATGCGGTAGTCGCGATCTCGGATCGCGTCTACAGCGAGATATATTCTTCATGTTGCATCACGTCGTCTTCATGTTTGCTCAGGCCGTGTTTATGAATTCCATTGAAGACTCGAGAAAAAGCAAGGGAAAAGTTTTGTCGTTGGGTATTCTGAAATAGGAATTTCATTTTATTACAGTGGACTGTAGATTAATCTTGTCTAAAATTCACTTGTTCGATGAGAGTTTCACTTTATTCAGAGATGGGGATTCGTTTGGTATTCTCCCGTCGATGATTCATGGTGGAAATTTTAGAGATTCAAGCCAGCGAGCTTGCTTTCGTTGGAAACCAATCACATTCAAAATACGGGTCGTTTTGTCTTGTCGTAGGTGACTTCGAAACAGTGAAATTAAAGCATCGATAGAAGAATCGATGCCAACCGTTTCTAAAAAACACTTGTAAGCATAACAGGGACGCGGGTCAATGACCTATGCTGGTGGTTCTGAGTTTTGATCCTGTAAACATTATCATTCCCTTGGCCACAACAGACTTTGATACGTAACGCATACGATTGAAGTCCAATCGCAATTTACACTGAGAACGACGAAATTTTTCATCAGCGTGCATTTCTCAAAAAGTATATTGAAACAATCAAAAATCAAGTTTCCATTTTATTCGTAATTTGTATTTAAATATATAGCTTTCATAAACAAATATTCAAGAAAATTTATTAAGATTTGCTTGGGAAAAATACAGCTTTTTTAATATATTGTTTTTTTTGCAAAATTAAATTTGATGTTAGAAAACACTAATTTCATCAATTTATACCAAAATTGTATCTTTGATAATTTCTAAAAACTTTAAGGGTGGTTTTCAGCCTTTCAATATTGACGATCGCCGATGAAAAGAAATATTTTTTTAAAACTACATTTATGCTAAATTTCATCAAATCGTATGTTTCCTCACGAGTTCTTCGATTTAGTAAACAATCGAAGAGAAAGAGTCGTAAGAATGTCCAAAGGAAATACCACGATTCAGCGGTTCGTTCGAAAAGCCATGAAAAAGTTTCGCTCGAATATTCGATGAAGTTGCGGAGCTGCTGCTATCGATCAAGACGACGTCGATTTAACAGAGCTGGAAGAAATCCACTTTCACGTGTACACGCCTCGAACTCACACGGAGGCGAACAATTTTTCTTAACACCGAAACACCACCGTTTCCTCGAGTCGTGTCTATTCCGCTCGCTCTAGGAATCACGACAGGATCTAAGCTATTCTAGAAACTCACCGTAAAGCGAGAGTCGCGCGAGCACAGCCACTTGTCATCCGCTTAATCAACATAGCGCCAGATCGAATCCCGTGCTGTGAGCAGCAGCAGCGAGCAGCCGCGTTTCCAAGACGACAGTCGCAATGACCTGGAAGTAATGAATATTTTATAAGGATAGAGAGCCAACCTCCGAACCCGCGATGTCTGTATCTTCTACTTGTACACCGGTACTTTGGTTTAACGGATTTGCTTCTCGAACTTCTGACGTGCCACCGGTTGCGAGCAGGAGCAAACAGAACGTTCGTAACTACACTCGGTGAAGAGTCTTATCTTTTCTCTGGAGAGGCTTCCAAGAAGCAGTCGCGAGAGAAGAGGTAAGCGCGCCGATGGCACCGATGGGGACTCTCTGAGAGGCCGACTGAAGTCTCAATCGGTACGCGTCGCAGGCATTTCGTCGACGGGGTCGCGCACACCTCGTCGTGCACATCGCGGTGCTGTGATTGCTACATATTTCACGGCGGGGTCGTTCCGATCGAGCGTTATCGAGCCGGAGAGACCATAACGAGCCCACGTAGCGTTGCTCGAGGTTGCCCCGGAGCGTGCTGTCGACCAGGAACGAGCGCAGTAGGCTTCGAGCGCGTGCACGTACACCCTCGTTCACAAGTATCAGCCTGTTTCTCTACCATCCGTGATGGTAGAAATTTCAATCCGAATATATCCGATAGAAGTTGCAAGATATTCACCGCGGACGTATGTACATTCGGTAACAAAACTGGCCTGCTTATTAACGCGAGCAGAGCCCCCATGTCTTGCCCCATGTTGAATATTCAGAAGCTCACTAATAAAACGGACAATTGATACTTTTGCCATCTCTGCCGACTTCCGCGTACGTTTATTTGAAACTTTACTACCGTTTACGTGCAACGACGATGGTCTTGTGTAGAGTGCCAATGAAATTTCGAAACGTCTCACACAGGGCGCAATGATTTACATTCGTAGAAGGTGTGCAACGAGTAAGTCGGGGAGGAACTTTCGCTAGCAACTGTACGCGTACACGTGTACGCGATACGCGGTGTACGCCAAGGTGTACCCGCGTCGTGCAACCGCGCAGAACCATAAGACACGTATGTTTATATCGTGGCGCGGTGCACCGCGTTACGTCGCGCACGCGGGGTGCACCCACGGCGCATGTAACGCTCGCGGAAATGTATGTACATCAGTTACGCGTTCGTGCTTACACGGAGTGTCGTTGTAACCGGCTGCTCGCGCCGCTGTCGCGCCTCCCGCTTCCACTCGCGGCTACAATATAGCCGCACCACGCCGTGCATATTGTTCCGCGATTACGCTTCCATTTCGCGGCGTAGACGTTCCGTTCCTTCGCACGACCGCTCGCCGCGCCGATTATCCCTGCTCTTGGCGGCCGCGCGACGCCTCCACGACCGCCCGTGGCACTCGCACGAGGCGGTAGCCTCCTAGATGCCTTCCCAGGGACGACTTGCCAGCTCTGCAGTTCGTTAATGCGGCAGTTTCCAGCTAGTGGTTTCTGCTGCCCTCGCAGCAGACAGTCAACTATCCAGTTTAAGAGAATGCCCCGTGAATGCCTTCGAGACACATACGCGGATTACACCGGGATGAAATCGGATCCTCACTTTCTCTGCATGAAACCACTGGAGACCGTTCAGCAATGTGTGCACAGTGGCAGGTTATAAGAGAGTTTGAAAGACACGCGCGTCGAGGGGCTACGTAGCTTTGCAAAGTCGGGCAATAACGCGAACGACGAGGAAATCAGAACTCGCAACACGGCGTGTACAAAAACGTATCACGTGTAATTAAATTGTGATCTCTGAACGTGAGAACGGCATAGGCATTCCAGTAATTAAATCGCACTGCTTGAACCAGGGAGATGAACCGAAGAAGATAACTAGTGAATATTTATTACACTGTACGGAAATGTTCCAACAAACTGTTCTGGTACACAGAGGCATAGATATTTCAGAGATATTTAATTTGAAATGAAAGCATCGCTCGTGGATCGATTCAAACTGATCGAACAGCGCGAACGGATCAGAAGCGTTAAGACGCTGGTTTATAGAAGCGTGACACGGGCTGTGTGATTATAAGACGCGCTCGCGATAAAAGAGCTCTCGGATTCATAGTTTGACAGCGAATATATGCACGCCCACTGTTGCTTCGTCGCCTGCTCCTCCCTCGAGTGCGATACGCTCGCGCGCGTAATATGAAAAGCCGGCTCGACTTGCGCAAAAAGGTCGCGCGCGGCAACTCGTTAAGGAGGTGGAGCGCGCCTGTATATCCGCGATCCTCTGCCTCGAAATTATCATCCTCTTATTTACATTCCCGCTAATTGCACGTTCGCTCGTGCAACTTTGTCTCCTGCGGTGGTTTTCGCTCCCTATAATAAATCTGACCGTCTAGCCTCGCCCGCGCGATCAAACGTCTACGTATAGTCGCGAGATTATAGTTTAAATCGTTTCTTTCGCGCCGTTACCGCGCCGATCGTTGACTTTTGACCACTCTCTTGGATGATTCCAGTCGCCTACTCTCGTTTTCCTTCAATCGCGACGTATTTTTATAGCTCCATCGTTTATCTTCGAGAAATTGAATCCTGTCCAGACCGCGGATTTTTTGAAATTTTCACGCGCACCATTAAAAAACTGGAATCTAAATGAAAAATTATTTCTCCTGCGTGGAACTGTACTTTGGTCTAATGAAACGGAAGCCTCCAATAGGCGCCGGCAAATGTTATTGACGAAAATTGTAATTACAGAAAGGAAAAAAAATTAAATCGGACGTAAATGAATTGTAATTTAACAATTATATCTTCCGTTAGTCATGTATTATTATTATATATATTATATTATATATATTATTATATATATTATTTAAAGGCGATTATTTAACAATTGTTTAATTTATGAAAAGTTGTGGCAATAAATTAACCACAAAAAGACACAAATATGTAGTGTGTAAGAAACATAACGAAAGAAGAGAGACACATTACGACTGCAAGAAATGTAGGATTATGCATTGACCCATGTTTCGAATTGTGCTGTACCTTACTAGATTGTTAGGTATGTCATAAAATAGAGCCTATAATTACTGTTAAATTTTTAGTACGTGTACTAAGAATCCAGTGTAGAATAAATAAATACGAATAAATAAATAACATTGGTTTAATGCAGTGCATAATTCAGTGTTTTGATTATTTGAATATATTTTCTGAGAAATGTACGCTGACGAAAAATTTCTCAGTGTAGGTCGCGATTCAAAATCGTAGCCAAGAGGTTGACATTTCATATACTTCGTATATGTACTTTTTCTGTGCGTTGTGCGTATTTCTGCACCCTAAAATTCTTCACAAACGCATAAAAGTCTGCTGTTGATCGATGACGGTGGCTTCAAAAATCTTCCTCAACTTAAAGCGAAGTATTTCATAAAGGCGTGTTAGCAAATGTGAACAGTCGGTTCAATTAGATTAGTCGGAATTGAAAGAAAACGAGGATCGAGAAGAAGGGGAGAAGCAACAGAGACAGAAAGGGAAGAAGAAGGAAGAGGAGGAGGAGAAGGAAGAAAGAAGACAATACTCGCCAAGGACAGGCGGTATTCAAATGCGTTGGTTGCCGTTGCTTCTGCTTCTGCTGGTTGCCTGTACGGCGAAACGTTTTTACAGACTGGCGAGAGCCGTGGCTGCAGAACAACCGTCATTTTTTCTCTTCTCGTGGGCGAGCGTCTTTCCTTTTTCCCTGCTGCCCCCCTTCAAAAAAGCTGCCAGCTACCAACTCTGGTTTCGCCCGGCGGTGAAACCGCATCGCGCAAAAACCGACGCCTTTGTCCCTTTTCGCGTACGTCACCGAGCTTTAGTACTCATTGCCGGGAAATATAGCGACACGCAGTGACACGCGGAGAATTCCTCGGGGCCGGTCGAACCTTTGTGCCCCGCAAGAACACCGCGTCGTTACCTGGGCATAATTTCCGTTCGCGCGATTATCGGCGAATGCCTGGCTAAAGGTGACGGCCACCGCGGATTCCCGGCACTGTGCGCACGATCGTCAGTCAGCCTTTCATGGAACTCCGGACACCGCGGTGAACGAAAAAACGTGAACGTGGACGGTAGAAAAACGTGGAATTTATCGTTGTATTAAAATTGAGTTAACGATACGAGCGACTGGAGGAAATTGGAAATGTATTAATTAGATAGAACAGCGGTTGAGTATGCTTTGCGCGCGTTTGTCGCTAAAGGGTCAAAGTCCCGATTCTAGGTGCATAGATACCAGTTCGCTTTCTCGTTTTACTCTGGCCCGATGAATGCACTTTGTCGATGGTTATTAGGCGCGTAACGCGCAAGAATATCGCGATGCGTTTACGGAATAAACGAGTAAGAGGACCGTAAAACCACTTGTGCAAATAAAAGACGATGAAATATTAAAAAAAAAAAAAAAAAAAATTGCGAAAGAAGAGGCTCGATTACAGCGCATAGATAACGACTAATTAGAATCTACTTCTGGTTAGAATCTACGTTCGGAACAACCAATTATACGTTGTTGTACCCTAGATACCAAATATAGATAAACGAACGTGCAAAATCGAATTCTGAGAAGAACGAGTTTGCGCAACCGCAGCGATAGAATGTGCGCACGGGCGTCTTCTCGAAGGCACAATCTAGACATTTTCGAATTCAACGGGTCGCGTTTCGAAGGAATCGGATCGATTTTCCCGCGTGATCCGTAGTCTAGCCCAAAGCCCCAGTTCACGTTCCTCCGAAACAGTCCGGTCGATCGAAGATATCCGGTGCCTTGTTGGGATCATTAGCGTGAGATCGTGTGACGTAACGAGCCAATCAGTGTCCCAACCGTTCGAGTAATGATCGTGTACCAAGAGGTATTAGCATCGTGGACGGACGGACGATACCGTTAAACAAAACTTTACCTGGTGACCCTTGCCCCGGTGGGTCGAGGCGGACTTCACCGATGACGAGGACGATCTTGTCGAATCCGATGCGACCAGCATTTCTCCGAGGAATCGTCGGCTTCTCTGACCTCGGCCACCACCAGGGAAACGGACACGACCGGCTCGAGTGATCTGGATCACGATCCTTGCCTCTGGTCGAGGACGATCGGTTCTTTCTCCGCGTGTTTCTTTCTGCAAAATTCAACGAAATAGGTTTCCTTGATTTTTTCGCTACGATAATCCTCTCCGCCAGACTGGACGGAACTCCGCGCCAAAAGTGTACACTTCTCGGTTACACTTTAAGAAAGGCCTAGAACGCTTTACAAGGCCTATTGCAATAATTTCTTATAATATAAATATTCTACTATCGAATAGAAAAAAATAGGAAAAAATTTGTTTCGATGACTAAAGTATATTATGTATTTTTAATATATGTATTACTCCAAAATACAATGAACGTCATGTATATCCGGCGCTCGTAATGAAACAGTTAATAGGGCCTGAAGACGAACCGATCAATGCCGAGTTTTATTGAAGTTTGAATTATTGAGGCCACGTCTCCAGACGTGGACAAATTTTGGAAAGAGTGCAGTGCAGTCGCTCCGAAAAACAGGAGGAACAGCGCGGCTCGATATCGGTTTGGGCGATCGTGCGATCCGGTCGCAGGTTGCGACGTGGAAATCGTTCAGTTCGATCGGTGACGCAGCAGAACAGACAGACAGTGGCAAAAAGTAATTCACGGGTCGCGGAAGTGGACGCTAGCACAGATACGGCGAATAACACAGGCGAGCTGCGCGTCCACTCGACAAAAATAACGATCATCGGAGACTTAATTGCTATCTTCGATCTGAAAAACGCAACCTCCGTGGAGCGTCGTCCACGCACGGCGACTTGCGGCGTACACGCTTGCCTGTGTATCGTTCATCTCGTTGAACCACAAGTCGACGCGAGCTACGAGGAACAAGCGCGCGATCGAACAAAGAAAAACCTGGAACCGTGAAGAAACGCATTTTCACATGGAACCGGCTTTGATTAATCGCTCGGCCGGCTAATAACAGTATGTCGTGCGCCGCCAATGCGACTTTGCCGACGATTGAAATCTGTTAGTGTGCATAATTCCGTTATAGTCCCTGGCAGCTTCACGAGTTACGTTAACCCTGTCGCAGCGATCCGTGGGCGGTTAATAGGTCAATAGTACTCGCTTCTCTCTTCGTTTGCTCTTTGACGTGCCATTTGACACGCGCGTTCGCGCGTCAGATCGTTCGTTCAAACTTTTAACTATGTCGATCGAGTCGAACAGGCTTTCATGAATAGTACAAACAACATGGACCATGAAACGACGTCCCGCTGAGACGAAACGTCGGATCAGTAACAGATCGTGACCCGATCCGGTCGTGATTACGAGTCCTAGCGTTGCTTTATTGCTATCCGACATTTCGGTGCGCTTAGGATCTCCCAATCTGGGGCAAGATTGCAACAGCTATTACTAAAACCGACACGCGCGAGTGACGTATGCGTTTGCACGGTTGATGTCGATGAAGACAGAACTTTCAGTAAGTGTCAGAAATTTTTCAATCGTGTGAAGCACATTCGCGTATTAACCCGTTGGCTACGGCAAACTTTGAATCGCGACCTACACTGAGAACAGCGAAATTTTTCGTCATTTCAACGTACATTTCTCAGAAAGTATTTATTCGTATTCTGTATTGAATTGTTAGTACACGTACTAAAAATTTTCTTAGTAATTTTGAACTTTATTTTATAATGTATCTAACAATCTAGTAAGGTATAACACAATTCGAAACATGGATGAATATATAATCCTATGTCACATATCTTGCATGTTTTTTACATATTTGCTGCATTTTGTAATTAATTTATTACCACACCGTTTCATTTTAAGGGTATTAAATAAAATAACTGTAAAATAATCGCATTTAAATAATATGGAAGGTATGTAATTGTTTAAGTAGACTCACTTACGTCTGATTCAATATTTTTTTATTGCAATTACTGTCAATAACATTTGCCAGACTCCTATAGGAGTTAATTTTCTTGTATGTTTCCTGAAAATTTTGGGTTTCGGAAACGCGAACGTATATGGAGAGGCGGCGGTGCGTGGCACGCAGAGCGTTCGTGGTCACGCGAAAGCCGAGTCGTGTGGGTGTGGGTACCCGTCGATCACGATCGATAAGACCTGCGAAAGGATAGAAAACGAACACAGCTCTTCGTCGCCGTTGAACCCGCGGGACCTCTCAGAAGTCTCTCTGGCTGGAAAGACAGCGAGTGCATTGTCCTGGTTCGTGGCCACGATAGCGTGCCTTTCCGCGACCGGGTATCACGGTGAACGGTCGGGGTTCAAAGGCGCCGACCGGCTGCCACGCTGACGCTGAATTTCACCAAATAGGTATATAGCGGCCACATAATGCGCGCATTATATTCAGCAACGGCCAGCCGAGCCGGCTCGCGTTTGACCAGCCTCCGAGTGTCTTTGCATTCGGACGAAAGGCAAACCGACGTCTCGTCGGGTCCTTCTGTTCCCCACCTCGTCGCGCGCGAGCTTTCAAACTGGCGAGATAACCGCGAGTCGTTCGAAATATGTGTGGATGTATTTGGTCCGCGGGACTTTCGCTTTTCGTTTTGATTTTTCGAGGAGGCGCGCGCGAAAGAGGGGCCGACGTTTGTGTCCATCTCCCGGCTCGTCTCTTCCGGGTACTTTGCCGAAGCCATCCGGAGACGATGGGGAGTGTAAATTTGAGAAACTAAAAGGGAAACACCGGGAGAAGCGGTGCGGAGGTTCGAGGCCTTTACGGTCGAAATTCTTGCAGTCCTGAATCTGAGACACTCTGACAGCGACGAAGTTTACGTTAATTAATAGAAGCTCGTATCTCGTATCTCGTGTCTCGTCAGTCTCGCGCAGCTTCCTCGAGGCGCGACGAACTTTCAATTTCCATCCTCCTCGAATCAGCCTTCGCCGAGCAGCCTTGTCGATCGATAAGAGGCACACGTTCGTCGTTCGACAAAAAGTATCCCTCGCAGATCGGGTTTCTTATCGCAACGTGGTGCGGGTGATTTTTGAGATTCGAGAGCTCTGGGCGTCGATGAGATCACTGCGGAACGTAATGCACAGCCTCGATGACGTTGAATTAATAAAGGAAACCGTCGGACGGGGTCCTGGTTCCCCGAGGAGGGCCGGAATCGGCGGCTGGACGGGGAAACGGATGCGAATCGACGCGCAGAAGGATGCAAAGCGACAGTTAGGACAGGAACACGGTCGAGGAAAGGCAGCGCGTTGCCTTCGTCTGAAGAATCAGACAGAGAGAAAGAGAGAGACGCGTGTCTAAGAGAGAGGAGCAACTGCACGGTACGTGGAGGGAGGGAAACAGCGAGCACGGAGAAGACGACGGACGAAGAAAACAAGAAGAAGCGAAGGATCTCGCGAGCGAGCCACACAAAACCCGAGGTGCTGGCGAGCGAAACGAAGAGTAAGAGGGACGAGAACCAGCCCGAGTCCAGGCCATCCAGCCACGAAAAGGTGTAGGGCAAACATATACAGGGTGTGCCGTAAAGTCGTGTTACTCCAATTTATCTCGAGAAGAGATACTGCTTTTGCGACTTGAGAGTCGACCAACGATTAATAATCTATGATTGAGATGGTTGTCGAAACGACACGGGAGTCGAAACGACGCGCGTTTACGCGATAGCGTCTGCGTTATACGAGTCAAGAATGTCGTTTTTTAAGGAAGAAAAAAGGAAATAAAAGAAAAAGAAATAGACGATTCTATGAAGCAGAAAACTATATTTCGTGTACGCGATACTAACAATCTTGTCCTCGTCTAATTATTCATTCGTAACTGATACCGACCACGGAAAGAGAGATCGAGAGTTTGCCGCTGGCAAACCAGCCATTATTTTATAAACTTTCGATAAGACGTTTGACGCCTGGAGTTACGCGCGAACTCAGTGAATCGTGTCGAAAGACAGGTAGCGATGGAAACGAACAAAGCGGAGAAATCGATCGAGAAATCAAGTGATTTATCCGTGAATGTCACGGCCACGCTGCGCTGCTCGTCGTTGATGCCGTTGGGTATTGGGCAAACTCGGGTCCTCACGGACGTCCGTAGCATCTCCAAATAAACTAGAACGAGCCACGCCGGAGCGAAACTGCGGCAAAAAGAGAATTGGACTCGCTGGAGCGAGCAGAGAGCATACAAATGCATCGCCGAGGTTCACGAACGTGACATCGCGGATCACCCGGCGAAGCCGAGTATTCGAAGATTAAGTTGCAATTAAAACGCAGTTTCGCTCGATTCGTCTCGGATGTCGGAAATCGAACGATCTTTCGATCGCAGCGTGTCCGTTTCGCAGGAACGAACGAGATGAAAAATAATCGACGATCCCTTTCTTGAAATCTATGACTTTACACCAGTCTTTACTAATTGCCGAATAAACATTTCATCTCCATCGCGAGTCGCGTAACAACGCGGCGAAATATTTCGTTGTAACGTTGCTTGGTTTCCAGCTCGGGTCCGGTTGGCCTTTGTTTTTTATTAGCTGTCACGTTATTGCCCAGCGCGTTATCACTTTCCTTCTCGTTAGGAGAGGCGCGATAGCGTCTTCCAGTTCTTACTTCCCGGTACGCGAGCGGTCGAATCGCTTTACACCTGACGAGCTCGTTGATTGGCCGACGCGAAATTTCACGAGCGGTCCCCTGATAATGCGTTCGCTTTTGGGCCGAGGAGAGCAGCAACTCGCGGGGCCCGGGACAAAAACGAGCGACAGGAGAAAAGCCAAAAGAGATAACAGCGTGGGGGGTGAAGGGGTATGCGAACGGTCTCCGGAGGGGGCTGCAGAACCGGAATTTTATACAGTGGCGTAACACACTGGGTAATACGCAGAGAATCACGAAACTCCTCGGTCGAAGGCTACCGCTCCTGGTCTCTCTCTTTCCTTTCCTCCGACTTTTTCTCTCTCGTTTCGTTTCGAACGCTTGGCGTCCCCCTTGGCGTCGTATCTTCCTTCTCTTTTTCTTTTTTTTTCTTTCTTCGTTTTTCTCTCATCTGGCCGGGGTCGAGATCTCGTTGTTCGATTAGCCTTTCGACGAGGTGGACTGCCCTCTTATCACGAATGCCTAAGATTCGCTCTTCGCCGGTCAATTAAGTAACCTGCGTTACACGGCTAATTAATTTTGCGAGGCAATTAATTAAGCCTCGTTTGGTCGAATCGGTCAAGTGCGGTCTATCTGCTGGGACGGTTCAACGTCTCGATCGTTTTCGACGAAAACTTCGATCCGTCATAAATCAATTGTGACGCGTTAAAGTTGCTAGCATTTCTTCGCGATCGTTTAGCCTGAATCTTGCCTGACTGGTAGCGTTTTGGCCGTCGTTTCGTACCCAAAAAATCTTCCATTATCTTGTAATATACGCACGGTCGATTTTTCAGAATGATGATTTGATAAAAAGCGAAAAAAGGAGAAAAGAAAGGGGGAAAAAAGAGAAAGGGGAGAACTGGCAAAAAGAATCATCGATAAGGAAGAACCGAGTCGGACAATGGTAAGACGAGACGAAGCCACGCGGTGGCGGCCCCTGGCGGCGATGGCCAGAGGTAGCGATGACCTTGCCAAGGTCACCGCGTCCTAACTACACCCTTCCCTCATTCTTTCTCCGTCCCTCTTTCGGCCTACATGGCCCTTATTATTATAAAGCAGTTGCCCTGATTCCTCCGAGGCCGTGTGCCATTCATTCGCCTCTCGTTCGTCTTCTGGCTGCCCTCCCCACCCCTTTCACCAGCCTTTTTCTTCTCTTCACTTTTTGTCTCGTTACATGCACGGCCTTTCTTCAACGTCTCGCCGGCTTCGACGCTGAAATCGAAACTGCCCCGGACCGAGGCCATTACCGCGTCTCTATTGTGCGACGCTCTGTTTCGAGGCTGGCTGGCCGCTTCATTTCCCTTTTTCCTACCTTCTCGTTCATCGTCCGCGCTATTATTTTTACGCTACGGCACGAACGATCACGATTCTCGTTTTTCCCCCACGGAGCCGAGATCTTGGCGCTTCTCGGTTTTCGTCACAGTAGCTTGGGTCGGATTGCTGGATAGATGTTTGAACAAAGCCGTTTTTTCTCGAGTCCTGAGCAAATAGAACGAAAGAGGATAATTACTCGTCGATGATCGCTGGTCTCGAACAGGTTGCAACGAATAACGATCTACGCTCAATTAGGAGTCTGTTCGGAGAGACACATTTTCAAGAAAGTAATATTTGCGCAAAGCTTCTGCGTTTAAAGTGAAACATCGCGTAATAAATACGTTGCCTCGCGTACGTCGGGTGGAGATTTTTAGAAGCAGCGATACAGGCACGCCACGTTCAGTTAACGTATCTCAACACGTGAACTCACTTTACTCGTTCCAGAGGCAAGAACGGGGATTCCTCGGCGGTTCAGGAGGCTGGCAACGGTAGCAGTGGCGGAGGATTGGGAAAATGGCTGCGCGAACATTTGGGCGGCGGCTCGAAGGGCAGCCAGGACAGTGGCGTTCCCTCGAGGGCGATCAGCGGCGCAGTGGTCGAGGGTCCTGGCAACGAGAAACCCTTTGGGAAGACCGTCTACGCTTCGCAAAATCTCTACTGTAGCCTGCCGAGGGACCACGGTCGCCACGCTCACAACGGCGGCCGAAAGGCCGGCCACGGGATCTCGACGAAGATTCAAGGCTACGATCGACAACGATACGCCGGCGCGAACCATCACGAGAAGATCACCTTCAGCGACCTTGGTACATTGACGAGGGGCGGGCCGATCTACGGTAGCGAGGGGAAGACACTGAAGAAACGAAATCGCGATCGGCGGAGGCATTCCCTGAACGAGATCCACGAACAGGGCCGGCAACGTCGGAAGAGGTGAGCGAAAATTCTAATTAAATCTGTCAAACGCGGATGGCGAGAGGAGAAGCGCCAGTTGGAGAAGACAGCGATTTACCGTGGCCGATGCAAACCACAGAGTCATCCTTCTGATCTACGACGACCGCAGATACGCGGCGAGATTAATTTAATTTGTTCAAGCCCACTCGTACCGTCCGCGAGTAAACCGAGTCGGTTTGTTTGCTCGTGTTTCGGGGCTAGGCGTAATTGAAAACTCGATCGTTACGCGGAACTCGGCCAGCTCGTACGCGCCGGGACGTTTCGCACAGTGTCGGAGAATAATTATACGAACAAACGTATGACAAATGACGGGTGCATTTTTTGCGGCCGGTTTTAACAGTACCTGGATTTCTGGTTGCTCGTTTTTCGGATGTTCTGGAGAAACCCGTTCTCGGGGAGAGTACACTCGAGTCCATTAAAGCTACTGCGTACGTTGTCCACATTACGATTAAAAGCGACACGGTGCATTCAAAGTTTGCAAGAAATTCGAACGCTCGCGCGCCGCCGCGTTTATACCGCGGTAACAAACGACCACCATGCCGGTGCAATTAATTTCACGCGGTGACTCGCGCGCCGCGAGGTGGTTTTCTTCCTCGCGGCGGCGGTTTTCCAACGCCAGGGAATCACTACTCGATGCACGGTTAGACGAGCGTTCCTTTTTGTCTCTCTGAACGCGGGACGCGTCCTGGCAATCGTGGGGAATTTCGAGGAAGCCTCGCCGCTCGGGAGACATACGAAGCCACGTTTTCTCTCTCCTTTCGATAATAAACAACGCGTCGAAAAAGGAAATTACGAAGGCTAGCCCGCGGTACGTTTAACGCACTTCGTCCCAACACGGCTTTCGACAAAAACGAACCGGGAGTCGTTGACCGTGCGCGTCGCTGGTGGCTAAGTTTTCTCGCGTCTCCGTGTCGAGTCTTCGCCGCTGAACGAACACTGAATCATCTGCTGGAAAATTGCGCCACGAAATGCGTCGAAACGGAAGCGTTACGCGTTACGCGCATATTCGCGAGCGTAATGAGACAATATGATTTCCATCGGCATGAGAAAGCCGACTGGCGTTTCGCAGTTGCTCAAAGATAATAAAAGAGGAAAGAAAGGGAAGAGTGTCGTTGCATCGCAAGAGCTGTCGTACTTTCGTTGCACGTCCGTCGGGCAGATTGTTTCTGACGGAGAGTGTCGAGTCATCGAACGAGTGCAGATGCCGATGCTCGTACGCGCGCGTTACGACAGACTTTAATGCCAATTCATTCGACGAAATTATAAAACACGCGCGATTCGCGGTTCTGCTACTCGGGCTCTGGCCGTTTGCAACACGTGGAATTCGCAGTCACGGTATTGTACAATTTCCTGCGAGGGAACACATCCCGCGGGGTGTAACCTCGATTTTTCTTCGTCCAGCGTTCTCCTCTCAAACGGTTGTTCGAACACGATCGCTGTAACGTTGGGATCTCTGTGTGTATTGTTTCGTCAATAGCGAGGGAAAGTTTGAAAAGATAAAAGTATTTCGGACTTGGACGCAACGTGCCTATTTTAAAATAGTATTCAATTCCATACCATTTCCCATAACTTGCCTATTTCTATCTTTATCTTCGAACAAAATCGTCTTTGGCTACTTTGATTTGCCAAACTGACTGTGCTTGATTGTTTCTACAAAAATCAACATAGTTATGCAGGACTTCCCCGTCATTTTTCCGCGCATGGACGCCGGTCCCATAAGCAGCCAGTGCGAATCAGCAAAGAAAACTCCCGGTGGGGAAACCACCCCACGTTCAGATACGTATCGACGCTCCTTTCATAGCCGTCGAGATGAAACCACTCTCAGCTAGGATGATTTAACGCGGCAGTTGGCCGGTGCCCCCGCGAATGTCCGGTCATCACGACCATAGTAAGACGCCAGCTCCTTACGCTGGTTGTAAGTGTCCACGACTGGTATGCGGCCAGTATGTACGTCCGGGATATATGGTTATCTTCATGCTCGTCCTTCGTATAAGGCCCTCTTCATGTTGCACGTAGCTCCGTGCTTCGCGTCACGGAGAGGATCTGTGCCCGCGCAGCCCGCGAAATACCGACGTGGCCAGAGTTCGTCGGTACCCGCCGCGTTGCGCCTTGCGCCAGAGAAAGCAGCGCAAAGAGAGAAAGGGACAGACAGAGAACGAGAGAGTACGCGAGAGAAGGACGCGGCCAGCAGGGTTGTTGGGCCCTGAATTTACGACGGAGACCGAGATAACCTCGATAGCCCGACACGAGTATATTGCCGCCCCGAAGACGGTCAGCTGTCTATCGCGTTTCCCCGTTTCGCTGCCTCTGCTGACTCTACGCGCGCGCTCTGCAATTTCGGGAATGCGTTTCTCTTTCGCGGCGAGGACGCGTAAAATTTGGACGAAAGCAATTTCTTTCCGCTGTCGACACGATGATCGACAACCGTTCACCGGCGATCGATAACGCTGAAACGACACCGAGGGAATTACTGAGATGGCAACTATCACGACGTCGAGGCCTACGCGCCATCGATCGGGTGACTGAGCAAACGCAGCCATCGCTGTAACGTAGTATGCATATTTCTCACTCTCATATCTGCTCGACGGTGGTTTATTAATGCTCGCCCGGCCTATAAACGATGGCTGGAGAGCCGTACCAGCTGGCTCACCGGCGAAAAGTATTACTCCTTCTGGCCTGCGACAGCGAATGTGTTCTACAAAGCACGGGAATATCGTACAATCGGAGGCGGACGTCTTGGTACGTATCCACGTCAATGCAACGTACGACGGTGGAAGGTGCTATACCTGTCACCGGCTCGGCTCATTCGCGTACACGCACGCGTACTTGTCTATTTCACTCTTTCGCTACCATCGAAAGAACCTTTTAAGTAACGACGTATTCTCACGAGCCACGCTCGTAGATACGACACGATTGCGCCTACTTATGCGCGCAGGTGCGCGCCGACGTTTGTATTCGTACACGCGCGTTTCATCGACGCGCGCTCGTAACCGGTGCGCACATGTTACGCATACATCCATACAGGCGAAGCGTACAACGGCGTATACGCACACGAGCACGAGAGCGAGATATAGCCGGATTCGGCGTTGTGTTAATGTGTTCGTTAGGCAGGTTACACCGACACGTTCCGCGCCGGGCAACACTCGCTCTTCTTTCCTTCTCTGCCAAATTCTCTCTCAAGGGGCCAGCTTTCCCTTCCCTGCAATGCTTCTTCGATCATCGACCAACTCCCCGTGGTCCATCGGCGCTCTCCCTACTCTCCCTCTCTTTCTTTTTCTCTTTGTCTCCCCTTTCTTCGTTCACCTTACTCTTAAACTCTCTCCTCCGTCGTTCGCTTTCCTGCAGGCTTTCTTGAGCTAAATATAGCTAGAGCTCAGATATAAATAGAATAACCCCGCGGGCTAAGATGGCCGGGGTCAGCTCTTCGTTCTCTTCTTCTTCTTCTTCTTCTTCTTCTTCTTCTTCTCCTTTCTCTTATTTTTATTCTTGCGCCTCTCCTCCTCCTCCTCTTCCTTCTCCACCTCCTTCTTCTTCTTCTTCTTCCTCTTCTTGCCAACTGCTGATTTTTCTTTGGATTCTTTTCTTTTTTTTTTTGCTCTCCTGGGCTCACCAGAATTTATCTGTCCCCTCGGTGTTCGTACGACTACTCCGAAGGGTTTAACATCTTCGTGTCCATCCCGGGCTGTTCCATCGGCCGACCTTAGGCCCAGGAGGTCGGTTCCCTCGATAAAAGGTTGCTGACTCGATCCCTCGGCCGATGCGTGCCATCCTTCGGAAAGCCCGAGGTTTCGGCTGTATTTGCGTGTTCTCCAGTTTTATTGCCCGCCTCGCTGTCTCCTGCGTGAAATAAACGCCGTGTTCTGTTGCGACACGCGTTTCTCCGTCGGCTACCGCGTAAACATTCAAATTCTAATCCCGTCGAACCTCCTCGTCGAACGTTCCGAGTGAAACGAACGTGGATGGAGAGAACGTGACGTAACCGAGTTAAACGTCTGTTAGGTATTCCATTTTCGTAGGATTTTGGGTCGTGAGACCGACTCGTATTTCTTTTGAAATCGAAGGCACCGAGTTTCGAGTGTAATCGTACACGTACAGTCCGCGGAATATTCTGCGTTTATCATTCTCTGTACGAGAGCCAGAGGTCGCAGAATCGAAACAAGCAGAAGAGAAACAAGAAATGGAGGAACAAGAAGAAGAAGAAGAAGAAGAAGAAGAAGAAGAAGAAGAAGAAGAAGAAAACGAGGAAGACGGCTGGAGGCTCCGTTCGACCCTGGCCAGGGCCGTATCGGCGGGATTAATGGCAGTGACATCCCGCTCGTGGCCAGATGAGATTCTCCGGCTCGATCGCGAGAACAGGCGGAAGAAAGAGGAAGAGAACCGACAAGGAGGAGGAAAGCTAGCACGCCGAGAGCGACAGACAGGGAGAGAGTGAACGAACGAGAGACGGAGGAGACGAGCGAAAAAGAGTGAGGAAGGAGAAGATGTCCAGAAGAAGAAGAAGAAGTCGACGACGACGACGACGACGACGACGAAGCGCGGTGGAGGTGGATGCGAGCCGGGTACGTTGACCTTAGGATTCGATGCGCGTCCTTGAGGATACCAAGATGGCGGGTTTATGCAACCGGCCACAATGGTATCCGCTGCAGGCTACGGAGCGTAGTCTCTCTCTCTCTCTCTCTCTCTCTCTCTCTCTCTCTCTCTCTCGTCGCGTTCTATTTGACGCACGACGCGATTCGACGCGGCTCTGCATTCTCGCTCGGGGAACTCTCGAGTGTGCGCGCGCGTACACGTTTCCAGCGTTCTCGGTGGTTTCCTCCGGCCTCCTCCTCTCGTGGAACAGCGCGCTTCTTTCTTCTAGAAGAGCGCACGAGCGCACGCACAACGTGCGTACGGCCGGCACCGGCGTGAGCTTAAGACGCGCCGTTAAACCCAGTCAGTCCAGTTTCCATCGGCGCAGCCTGCAACGCGACGAGCCACGG